GACCTACCAGTCTGCTCGAAGGGGCACAAGTTGTGGATTGACTCCATTTGCTTACGACCACCTGGGAGAATTACCATCACACGATTACCAGACATTGTAGCATCAACAAAACCTAAGCAACTACCAAGATCCGCCTTACGCATACGTTGGCGGATCACTGCAACAGGTTCGCCCACATACGGAGACCAGCGACGCTGTTTACCAATACCAAGAGTCTCCAAAACATGAGTTCGCAAAGACCGCCAGTAGGTTTCAAGATAATACTTACGGAAGGCCAAGGCATCTCTGGCAGGAAAACACTTGAGAGGAAAACCCAATACTCGAAGAGGACCAACTTGTTTTTCATAACCAAATGCCAGCAAATCTGGTGTCACAGGCCTCGTCTTCGCATCAATCTCAACAAGACGTCCCAATGGGCGGGAGTTGAGAATAAACGACAAATAGTCCAAGAGAAGGCCGAACTCTCCATCATCATCTGGTATACGGCCACGAACATGACGTAAGGCCTTCCTCAGAACAGAGAGAGCCACACCATGCAAACGGTTCGAACGACCCGCTTCCCAAGGAGCCGATGAAGCCAACACATAGACATCGGTCCCAAGCTTATCCTTTATATCACGATGGAAAGCCTGCGACGAAAAATATGAAGCATTGTCAACATACACGCGACGAACGCCTCCTCGTTGAAACTGTGCTCGTTGAAGGCCCTGCAGAATACTCTCAGAGTCTTCCTTATCAAGTGGTAGCAGAGTACAATGCCCAGTACAACGACAAACCACAACAAGCATCTTCCGCTTCTCACCAAGGTGAACCACATCAACATCAACACTCCAATATGGAGGCTCATGGAGCATAGCAGTATCATCTCGCGATAATATAGGAGATGATTTACCACGTCGAGCCTTTTCTAGTCGACACGGGACACACCGAAACAGGAGACTCCTCGTCTCTCGCTGGCCAGCTGGTAAATAGAATTGACCACACTGTGCCAGGGTAGCCTCTCGCCCCCCATGACCACACAAACGATGTGCGTCACGTAGCAATAGTCTCCTCCATAACAAAGCTGCTTTGGGAGTATAAAATTGCCGCAATGGTTCTCCAATAGGACTTCCCAAATTAAAATAAATGATACCATCCTCTTCACTAATTCCACCGCCTCCTTCTACTAGCCGCTTCCGTTGATCATCCGGAAGAAGACCTTGAGCACTACGAACCAAAGTGACCAACTCGTCACATGGTAGATCATCGGAAGAACAGTGCACAGTGGACGCCCACGCCCTGATAACCTTCCGGAGTACACCACAAAGAGTAAGCGCGCCCGAAAGATCCCAAGCTTCTCCTGCAATGGACTCAACTAGAGACGGAGAACTGGCAGGACCAACTCTCGATAAAGACCGAAGAGAGAAGACAGCATCTGTAATTACCACACACGTTTCACCTCGTAACATAATATCGGCGAGAACCCCTGATACTCGGGAATCAACAACATCAGAGCCGGCCACCAAAAAGGCAGAATCTTCTGCAACAATATATGAGGCCATCTCTTCCATCGGAGCATCTGGGGATGGCATACTACCAGCATCAGACCGGAGTAAAACTTGGCAGAGCGCATCTTTAGTCCCATCAGGGAGCTCACACTGTCGTTCAAAAAGTCGTGACAAACTATCGGCGACCCGGTTATCCTCTCCACTCAAATACGTCACCGAGATGGTGGATCCTGGGACTGTTCGTCTAATAGACGCACATTCATCTGCACACGCGCCTAGTAATCGACTAATGGCACGCCTCTCAATAGACTTGCTCCTAGGGGCTGTGGGTAGACCCATAGTAGTAGCAGAAGACCATGATACCGCGGCTCGATTGTCACAGGAAATACGAATATCGTAAGACACCTTAGACTTACGGCATAAAGCTGAGGTGGCGGTCACGATATCACCAATGGACTGTAGACACCTAAGTAGGGCGCACAGCTCCCTCCTATTGCTGTGCCATGCCACTTGACTAGCACGCCACCGCCAAGAATCTTCTCGCAACATAACGGTCGTATCACCATTCACCACATAATCGATAACATAGCCACCCCCAGAAAGACTGGCATCGGACGCAGACTGCAACAACAGATTGCCTCTTTCTGGTAGCGGAAGGCCTACACGATGCGCACACAGACCAGCAACATCTCTTCTCTCAATAACCCATTTCAACAAGGGTAACATAGCCGGAGAAGACACTATAGGAATCAAGGCATCCCACGAGGAGAGATGAACCGAGCTCATTCCGGCCACACTTCTCAAGGCGTCAGCAAGGGCTCGATCAATAGAATGTTGGAGGAGTGGATCTACCCCCAATAGACCAGCTAGCCCAAAGATCTCTCGTCGAGTAAAGGATGACGCCTTCAGTATCTCCTCAGCCTTATCGGCCGCTTGATTGAGCCGAGCCAAGCGTTCACATACCAACACTAGGGAACCGCCAGAAAATCGAAGATTAACACCGAGATACTTCCCGGTTTCTTCGACTGAGCACGTCACTCCTCGATCAGAGAGCGCCTTCTGCAAATCTCCTCGCAGTTCCGGAGTAGACAAAGCAGAAAATTTACGATAAGGCGTATGTTGACCACCAGCTTCAAGAGTGTTAAGCCAAAGGGAGAGGTCACGGACAGGAACCTTCACGGTTCTATCAGCAAACATATAATCATCGACCACCAACTCGAAAAGGTCGCTCCCAAAATGACATGCCAACTCCTCCTCACTAGCACAAAGGGAGGATGCAAGTCCAGCTGGACCCACATTCACTCCAAACGTGAGTCTATCACTCACAAAGACATCACTGCCAGCATACAACAACATCTGAGAGCCATAAACTCTCACATGATAAAACGCGGCAGTTGCATCCCCCACCAATAAAATGGTAGGGGAGGCGATCATTAATCGCACAAATATAGCCGCCGTAGAAGGGACAAAGCTGGAAGCATCCGGCAACAACATATTAGCAGATCTAAAATCACAAACTAAGCGGCCTTTACGGGCACCAGGAATCCCTTCGCCACCAAGCAGAAAAACATTCGCTTTGAACGGAGAGTCCACAGTACCCTTCTCAACTTTAGTCCACCATTGACGCTGAACATATTCTGCTACCAAACCATCGAAGATACGCTTTCGCTCTGGACTCAACCGGTTGCGAAGCGCCTCCGAATACTCCCGCACAACAGTATCTCCTGAAGGCTTTGGAAACTTGAGTTCGCACGTCACAGATTGTCTTGGGATATCAATGATCTCAATTGGACAAAGAGGGCGAAAACGAAACTCAAATTTCGGAGCGTAAGGAACAGGACGCCAATCGAACATACAAAGGCGATTCAACGCCGCAGTAACAATGCTCTGCTCCTCGGGAGTGGGCACAACCGAGAGAGAATCAACACCGGACATAGTAGGCGGGGGAACGAGAGGAATTACACCATTCTTGGGGTCCAAATCGTCAACCACATACACACCATACGTATCCGGAAAATCACTTTCCAATGTAGCCTCTGGTGGCACAGAAACCACAATATTAAGCTTATCAAGTACTTCACGACCGAGCAGCACACGAAAGGGACCATAACATTTTCCAGATATGGTACCGAGGGTGCTGGAAGGAAAGATATTGAAGACACTGGAACTTCAAGTTTACCACCACGCAAACAGATCCTTCCTACAATCTCTTTCCCTACGTTGACTACAGTACCATCTGCCAATTCAACAATAGACACATCAACCTTCTCGCTGGGGTCGCACGGAACTTCATTCCCAAGCCAATACGAGAGTCCAGCACCAGTATCCACTACAGCCTCAACTTGATACCACTCACCAGGACTAGAATCGGGAGAGAACTGAGCCTTCAACACGATCTCAGGGGGAATAATACCACCACCAGTAACCGCATGGGCAACCACATCCCGACTCTTCTCTACTTGAGAATTCTTATCAGTCAATCCTCGTGAGAGTCGAAACCCTTCACCCCCAGACGATTGACGGCAACGATAGGGTCGAACGAAAAACTGGCCGTTGGAAAAGTCTCCATCAGGCATCGAGGTCTCCTTACTGAACCCGAATATACAATACGGCTTCCCTCTACGGTTCTTACCACAATAGACCACATCGGCTTTCGTCAGAGCTTTAACCTTCTCACGGTTCTTAGAGTCGGCACCAGCACCATAGAAGACGGAGACACAGGACTTCTCGATGTTCTCAATCTCCTGAATACGAGCAACCTTAACAGGGGACGAAGTAGGATGACTGTGAACAGTAGGGTCCTTGCCCAACACCTCAGAGTCCTCAAACGAACGACACGCCGACCTTATAGCCCCAGAGACACTCGGACCAGAAGTAGAGAAAAGAGGAAGAAGAGATTCCCAGTCCTGGTGGACATCATCTTCAAAATGCCACACCCCTCCTGACATTGCTTGATGACAACTGCGTATTCTATCAACAGTATGCTTCCTAAGATTCATAGGGAGCTTACCAACGATAAGGCGGGTCATCAATTTCAACTCACTCCGATCGGAAGGATATACCTCACCATACAAAACATAAATACCCTTAACCTTCCGCAAAAAGGAATCGCACGAGCGAGTGCCTTCAAATCGCAACTGTGCCAGGCGTCGCTGGTACTCCTCCTTCAGTGGTAGCCGAGAGCAGAACTGCTTGGTGAGGGAATCTACCAAGGGCTGCCACCTATAGGCATTATCACCAACCTCCTCAAGGGCAGCTTCCTTGACCTCCTTCTCCTCAAGAGTTGCTAAGAATGCAATGGTGATGGTACACTCAAGGGTCTTCACTGGGACGAAACGTTCCTCGCCACGACTGCTCATATGTATTCCCCCACCAGCCTCCACTAGTAGACGACCAAAGGCACCCAGATGAGCCTTGAGTTTGAACCGATCAGTGAGTTTGGGGAAACGGATTTTACCAACAGCATCAGCAGTCAAAATACGCCCCTTCCGGACACGTCTACCAGCGTGATACGCCGAAGGGGGATCCGGCGCGTAAGAATATCGTCGATAATCCGGTATAGGACCATGAGACGATACGGCCGAGGGCGATGACGATGATGATGATGATGACGGCGATGACGGTGAACCACCAGAAGCAACAACCGGGGGTAGTATCTTCACTCGACCATCCCGAGTGTTTTCAACACCGGATGGTAATCCTGCTAATGC